TAATCAAAAGGGATGATGTGTATATGACGACTAGTCTGCTATCCGGCGAAAAATGACGGTAGCTGTGTATATGATCACTCCGTTTAGGATGGTTCATGTGTCAAAGTAGGTTTTTGGGTGGCAAAAAAGCGATGCAAGCGAAAGCGCAAGGCAACGAAAAGGAAGGAGGCACACATAGCAGTGATAGCTTCGCAATACATCGAGTTGGTGGGCAGCACAGAGCCAGAAATACTTACATGATAAATAGTTGGGAACTTGCGAATGAACTATAAATGTAACACAGGTTAAGAAAGAATAGAATGATAACATAAGCTGTTACTAACTCGGCTCAGCCATACGTGCTAACCAAGGTGAATCCCGTTTCCGTTTGTGCACCAGTAGTGAGACAAACAATGGGGCGACTTCCTTTCCGAGATTGTTAAAACGGGACACGTATTATTTTATAAGCAACAGAAAATTCGTTCAAGCAATTTGTTAAGTGGACCACTATATTGCTAACGGTTTAAGGGTAGGTTTGTCAGAATGTAATCAGTCTACGAGCTTGCGAAAATTGTTTATTTTGTTCAGTCTCTTTATGCCAGAAAAGAAAATCCCATGTTGATTAAATCAGCTACACGTAATGATTAAGATAGACAAACTGAAGTCCGCTGGTACGAATAGTATGGCCCATTGCCGGTTGTCGTCCAGCTAACGGATCCAAATTGGTAACTGGAACGCGATTCATTCAATCGGTTGAGTTAACCTCCAGCAATTGGAAAATTACTGGCATCTGGTTTCTCCCTCCATGGTTTCATTAAGTGATACCATCTTATCAGTGCCATAATACGGTAAAACCTTGTTTTTTCAACAAGTAAGCACTAACATCAATGAGGGTCAATCAAAAATGTATAATGCGTTTACGAGCAGTCAGGCAGCTGCTTTATAGAACACTTCTCAGTCGACTGATTCTAAGTTGTTGGTCTCAGTTGTATTGCTTAATCAATGATTAAAAGCTGCAATGGATCAGATGAGCCGAATGGTAGGGACCAACACACACCCAGTGAGATAATTGTCTACACTCCAGAAAGCTGTCCATGAAGCAACCAGTTATATATATATATATATATATATATATATATATATATATATATATGACAGAAAATCGATAGCAAATGGATCGAACCGTGCTGAGAAGGGTAGAACACAAGCCCACTTCGGTATTTATTTTTATACATCCTTCCTTGCAATGCTCGAGACTGTCTCCAACTTTGAGTAGCAGCATAGATAAGAAATAGTAGCTAGACCTTCTAATATGCATAAGTGGTATAGGAGATGAACACAGTTACCTCAACCCGCCCGTATAAGCTCTAGCACTTATCCTGCGGTGGAAAAATAAAAGCACCATGTCATGACGAAAATTGCTTACTGATGTGTCAGTCTACAAACACAATCACTAATTTGCTTCAGATAGAGATGTCAGCTTTTGGTAGGAAATAAAGTGCAGTTTTTTAATGATAGTGCGTAATGATAGTGCGTAATTATAGCGTGTAATTATTATCACAACCGCATGGGAACATAGGCGAAATTGTTGCATTCCAAGTAACCAAAGTATATATATACCGGACAACTCTGGTCGTTTGAAAATAGCGCTCCACATCTAGGTTATTGTGCACACCTCAAGAAGGGGATGGTGTCTATCAGTATAGATAAATTAGGTCTATTTCTAATTTTTCAATGGGACCAAGGCTTGCTACTGTAGTAACTTTTGTCCACAAATGCTACAAAAGGTGTTGTGATAACCATCAGATAGAATAGGTTATAATGCTCAAGAATAAGTGCTCCCAATACAAGACTTTTTCTAACATAAGAAAATGTGCATGGCTGTATCTTTGGCCTACTTCATTTGTACATAATGAATATTTGTTCCAGAAACGGAATGGAGTACAGTTAATACACACATTAACAACTGAAAGACATACTGATATTTCTGAAGTTCACGTTCTATTTTTCATGATCACTTAGCAGCTAATCCATTTGATTTTATTGTGACATAATAGTGGTCACCACAAGAATGACGGATCAATTGTCATAAATTCAACTACCATTCATGACCAGCTTACTACTGAATGTGATGTTAGGGAGCAGCTAGATATTTAAATATGTACAACTCCATCTAAGATCAATGGTTAATCGTTCCCGGAGTCTCTAACATTTGAGACACATCCAATAATCGTTTGAACAGTTGCAATGAGTTTACTTGCACGATATGCTTCGGAAAACCGTTGCAACATTAACCACCCGACGTTCAAGACACAGGGGATCTTGATTAATCTATGGCACCAAAAGCTTACCATGGCGTCCGCGTGGGCTGAATGGTGTCAGAAAATGGAGCTGTGTTTATATGGGTGAGTCGCCTACGGGTAAACTGCAGTAGTTTATGACGAGGTTGAAGCTTGCACAATCCCTCTCACCTGTCTTCGTACCATAAGCCCTGTAAACTGGTGGCGATGTGCTGGACCTGTTGCAACTTGTGCGCATCGCCTCAAGCGGTCGGACAACGTGCGGGTGAGTCGTATACTAACACTGGACTTACGATGGAGAACAGGCAGTGAGTAGCCAACTCTTCAGACTAGAAGTAGAACCTGTGGTTGCGCACAAAGAACCTGCGTAATTCATTAGCACATGGCCTGTTTGCTTGTAAACGAACTTCGAATGGCAGCGTGAGAGCACACCTAAGTTTTTCATAGAAGGTGTGGAAAGTAAAGGCTGGCTGTCGACGGTGAAGGTTGCGCCGTCCTAAATACCGAATTGAATGAGTTGACCGAGAGGCGAAATTCTACAGACCAATTGGAAATGCAGTTGTCTTATTGAAGTAGGTGGTAGTCGTCGGATATATTTATCAAACCACCACTTCAGGTAGTCTGCAAACAGGGAACACGGTGACCGGAGAAGCTTGAGTAGATTTGCTGTGGACTAGGAATAGAGTAGGTCTCACCACTGGGTCTTGGGAAATGCTACTAATAGATGGCCGTCAACTGGTATTTTCCACTTTCGTCCAACGCGAAACACGTGGAATAACTAGTACAATGATCCAACAATACCGCACACAGCCTGTAAAGGAGGACTTCAACGAAGTCCATCAATAATGCGTTTGATTTATATTCAGACATCATGAGGCGAATGAGAACGCCGCCAAGGCAGACGCACGCTAAGTACAGGGTGTTAAGGGCTGTCTGCCCTTTATCCCTGGTGCGTCACCTGTGAGGTTCATGTATTGCTTCACGTATGCAAGGATTCTCTTCGTTGTTAACTTGGCAGCGGTTGCGAGCTTCTCTTGGAATAACGGTGCTTGCTTTTTCGCATCCTTGCCAGCTTTCCAGTGCCCCTTATACGCTTTATGCTCGCTAGAGTAACCGGATAGGAAGAATTTGCCCCAAAGTCCGCTTCATCGCTGGGCCATTTTATCATACTGCTTATCAAAGCAGAGTGAATTGGTCGGTCCGAGTCTCCGACGCTTGAGAGGCACTTGATGAGTTTACTCCAACTAGTATAACTGATCAGTCAGGTTCAGCAGATGCAAATGGCGACAGTGACCAATACTTTTTGCACACATGACAAGAGTCAGACCGTCATAGTCCATTTTGCAGTATTAGTAACCTGGCTAATGATTCGTTACTCTTTTACCAGTTCGTCGTTGTAGCTCTCGACCAGTTGGATCCATATCCGGGTGAATATGCACGTTCTCACTTCAGCCTACTAGAGTTGTCTCGTCCGCAAAACGTATCCACATAGGTCGGTCCTTCTCAACAGTTGTCTTGCTGAGGTGGATGCTTTATTTCACTTTTACTCCGTCCTCATGCACATCGAGGATCTTATCAGCCAGCCTCTGTAAAATCCCTAAGTCGTGACTGATGTGCCTGACTGTTTGAATCAGTGGACACAGGAACAATGAAAATCATCAGACTTGATGACATTTTCTCAATCGAAGCAGATACTACGGGAGGAGGGTAAATTGAGCCTTGCTTGACCTAGCTTGCGCTCAGTCTGTAGCGTAAAGCTTCTCTTCGCTTCGTGGCTCCTTCCGTCATGGAGTTTTCCATGGATCTTCAGCCACTGTACACTAATCTGGGTTTTATAACTAGTGAAGTACAAAGTTAGCAGACCATTGGCCTCAGCTGATGTCATTCTTCTGATAAACTTAGGATGGCCAGACAATGAAAGGATGAAGGCTTGGGTGAACCTCAGATAGAATCTAGGCCGGTTTGCATGACCCTGTTTGGAACCGCTCAGAGTTAAACATTTCTAGTCAAGATCTGCATCTCCAAGAGTTATAAGTTTCCCTGGTTGGCTTCAAGTGAGACTTGTTGCAAAAAGTGTGGGCGAAATTGTGTTGAATGGAACATAAGTGTCGATAGGAATCCCAAGACAATCCCACACACGAAGTAGGAAAGCTAGCACAGCAATCAAGACACATAAGTGCATGTACTGTGTGCCCCACCATCTTCGCGTAGGAATCACATGGTGATTCATTTGGCATGAGGCAAAAGTAATGTTAACGTCAATTTGCGGAGAGATAACATACACAATGTAACCCAACAAATGCCGAATCAGAAATGACACTGCATGACACCGAATTTTCCACGAAAATTTGCAATGTACTGCTAAATTCACTTAGGCAGCTTCCTGACAGCACAGCTACGGGATACCAAACAGATGTCACTAATTGCAGTTGGATGGAAGAGAAACGGTTATCGATCCTGTTATTAGCTTAACCACAAGATCAACTTAGTGAACAAAAATGGAGTATCCGATGCTTTATTTTGGCGAAATATGAAGGGTGTATACCAAAGTACTAACTTAGCCTTGTCACAGAATGAGTTAGTGACAGTAGCCGAAGGGATAACGTTGATTGTGCGTAAATGCGCAGATGGGTCAGAAAGCGACCGCGAGCCAACTCCCATTGTGCCTTAAACAGTTTTTATGTCTGGTGGAAACTAGACCAAGTCTTTACTAGTTCATACCTCCAAAGCCCGTTTTTCTTCATTTTCTGGAGTGGTAGAATGCCTCCGCGTTTCTAGGAGATTCTTTGAAACAGCTTGTCTTTCTTTGAGCCAGTGGACAAAGTGATCTCTCTCCCAAGTGTATCGTTCCCACAATGCACACAATTCCCGAAGTCGTTCGCGTCGATCTTGAAACTACAATGGGGTAGCAAAGTGGTTAGCAGATTAGCAAAGGTCATCATGAGTGCAAGTGAGGGTGTCATCTCTGAAATGAAATACACTTCAAGTTTTAAATGGCTTACACACAGTCCAAAATGTCGCTGGTGTCTACTATCCTCCAGCCTGCATAAAATGATACTACGTTCTAAGGTATTAAACTCCAGCAGACGGATGGATAAAGACCACTGCGTAACTGCGATTAAGAACACTTACACACATACCAGTTATCACATGATTACTGGGGACATTAATCATGGTTCCCAACTGGTCATGCAGATCCTAGCTTTAGAATCATAGTCTTATCATCACTGACTGAAATTTGGACACAGCGTCTTTATGCATTCTCACCAGAAGTAAAATTAAATGTCGCCAATTGACACGAGCAGAAGAAACATCGCAGGCTTTCCTCACCAGAGGTGCCGTACACAAGACTTACCTTCCGAAGCTCACGAGTGATTGCAGTGTGAACCGTCTGAGCCAGTTGGTTTGTAGGTGTTCTCTGAAGATCTTCGAATTGCACTGGAACATCTATACTTCCGAAAGAAGTTTCACTCATGTCCGGAATGGCAGCTCCTGCTCTGAACGACAACAAAATCGGCGGGATGTGAATTTTCGCACCAGAACAACGATTAACAAATTTATACGCTGGTTAATAGTAGTAAAGTTTCAAAACTCTACCGCATTTATTCATCTGTCCGTAGTCATGAATGAAAAGGTAAAAAGGGCTGAACTTGCCTAGTGGCTGCAGTTATCAAATTGTGCCTGAAAGTGCCTAATTGGGATTCCATTGCTGAAATGCTGGTCTGCTGCTGTTGTACATCCATGAGGCTATCGGCCGCCACACGTAGATGATGTTCAGATGTCTCAAAAGAAAAACGTTCCAGCCGTCCTTTCAGAGTTGGGATGGGAGTTCGATTGATGTTCGTGTTCATTGTAAATGTCGAGTGAGCAACGTCCGACTTGACGCTGACTTGTGTCCACCATCTTGGAAGTTCGGTGGTCAAATAGAGAGCAACTGTGCTAAGAAGCTCCATGTACGACTTCCAATGACCCGCGCGGTTGGTGATGCTTTCCTGTTGCAAATTAAAGGGTCCTATAAGCTACGGACATAGGGTCTTGTAAACATCATGTTAGGTTAGTCGGCTTGCTTCCAAGTTTGTGCTAAATACACTATGGGTCTCGTAATCCACATGCCCATCACACTAGGGTTTGATAAATGCAAATTTTCTACCCGTAATTAACAGTACTTTATCTCGAAGTAGACTTGGAGCCGACTGGGATTTTATGCTTAATACCGAGATATCGAAGATAAATCGATTTTCTTTCAAGTTTGTATCATGCCTATGTTGCGCTATCAACCAAAGAGCTTCTTCAGGCCAAGTGAATCGGTACCTAATTGGCGCAGCTTTCTTGGTATAGTAAGCTGAAAATTGTGAGCAATAACACGGATCAGTAGACACTTACGTCACAGTACAGTGAACCAGACGTATCGGCTGGCATTGTTCACATGTGATGCATTCCTGTCCCTATTGTTGTTGATTCAAGCCCGCCTACACGGTTCCGACTGACCCGGTTAATACAGTCCGGTAGGTATTTGACTGCCCCACGCTATCCGTTCTGCTCACGCAGTTATTGACTCTAGGGATTTCCAAAGCATCAAAAATCTGCCTCTGGCCTGTTGCTCTTATTCCTCTCCGAACGATCTGGACATTGTCTCACTCGATTTTGTGCGTAGACCACTTGCTAATTGACCTATTCACACATGTATACAGTCTTTGTAACTGACTTTATGGAGGCAATTGGCTCTTACCAATAAATAATAGATATCTGAAGCAGTTGGTGAAACGACAGGTGCCGAGAGCTCTAACCGCACCGTCGCGACGTAAGTTAGAATGCATGGAGATCATAAAAATCATTTACGAAGAGGGAACTTCCCGAAGCCATCAAGCAACTAGTAAACGTAGAGAAAAAAAGGGTGGTTGTCCAAGGGCGTTAAAAGATACATTTGAAGCAACTGCTTCCGACCAGTTGTATCTACAAGAATAGCAGAAAATAAGAGGCACGTTTCATATCCACTGCGAAACGAGCTTTGATAAGAGGCCTAATAAGATTCAGCAAGGCCCATACACGCGCTAGATGCGCGACACGAAATCGACGGCGACCATGTCATCCCATTAGAGGAGGAATACGAGAAACAGGCTAAAGATTAGTTGCTGAGGAGATGTAATTTACCAAAGTCAATAAATGCGTGAACAGAACGGATGGGTGGATCTATCAAAAGCGTGGCGGGCTGTCTTAACCTGGTCAGTCTGAACAGCGTCAGCGGACCTATCCAAGTCGGCGCGCAAACCATCAGCAACCAGGCCAGGAATGCCTTACATGTGAAGGAACTGTGACTAGGCTCAACAGGAGAACTTTAGATGCCGGTTATTACACTAGAATGACCCTTTGACCTGTGACGCAACTATTCACTGACTTGCGTCAAGAACAAAATGTAGGCCCAGTCAAAACCTACAAAAATAACCGATTTATATTCTCAAACTCCCAAAATTATATTATCTCTTCAACAAAACACACATGGTGATTCTCATCGGGATGGCCTGCATAGAGTTATCAAAACAACCATCGCGAGTGACTACCTATGTAAAGCTGACATTTGTTTGGTCCTGACTCAACCTTGTATCATAAACCTCACCCCAAGGTGAGGTTTATGATACAGTCGTCAATTTGTTTTATCGTGTGAATCACCAGCAGTGTTGAAAATAAATTTTAAATGCTATCCGCTGGTGAAAGCACATACAACAAGCAGATAACTCGTAACAAGCATTTGCTTCGCACACAATCATAGCATGAAAAGTGATAGATGCTCATTTGAAAGCGAAGCACAATCTATACTGAAATGACGCGTCCCATCAGTGGGTGTTACGTGTCGCCATTGGTGTTGCAATATCAAGTATGAACACGTTTAATGCCTATGATTACAAAGATACGGAAGGCAAATGTCACAATAAAAGCACCAAGTGGCTTCTAAATCATTTTCGTCCAATTAATCGTAACGTGGTCACCTTCAACTTCTGAGCCTCTGTACACAGGTTAGAGTAACTGAGCTCAAATTCTTGTGTTCTGTGAATGACGTCCATTAGTATGTTGCCAAGGTATCTTCCTCTTCTCTGGACAGCTCTATGCATGTCATCAAGGAAATTGTCTTCATTGGATTCACTTTGCATATCGAGAAGCAGGCTGTCACTTCCCTGTTGACTATCCTCGACCATGGAGTGACAGACCAGTGATCGCAGGGCTTCGTGAACTCTTCGCCTATGATGGCCTCCTTGCATTTCGATGGTCCGTAGAATCATCTCGGGTTGTGCAAAACTGTCTACTTTGGACTTCCCAAAGATGTCACTATCGTTCGCTTCGTGCGTCGTGACTCCATCACCGGTCGTTGTTGATAGAGAAGTTAACTCATGGTTCTTTATGACAATCCACCGCTCAGCCTGTTGTAGTGCATGCAACGTCGCCATTAAGTTGTCTTGCACCTTCAGAAGACATCGAGTTCTCCGCTAATTGAAACAGGGAATGAAAGTAAAAAGCTTGTAATCTCCTGTTTCTGTATAGGTATAGAGCTCTGATCGTAACAGACGCCAACGTTAATAGCAACATAAGAAAACGTATATATGAATTATTGTATTCAAGTTTTCGTCCGTTTATTCTATAGTCATGGGAACTGAAAAAGCCATATATACTTTAATGTACTCAGCCTGACAAACGGTCTGTGGTAATCAGTGGACAGTTGTAACATATTCCGCTTCTGAATACATAAATCATCCTTTCGATTATGCAGCTACTTCCAAATTGGTGCTCTATTAAAATTTACTCATCGAGAGACGCGTTTGTATCACAGTCCGTAACGAACAATTCTACACGCAGCGAAGCGATCAACAGATGTTGATGGAACGTTTAACCGACCACTGAATAGGAAGACACTTGACAGCCAGGTGGCTCAATCTCCTCCTTCGCGTTCGGTAATAGTGAATACAGAAGTCGGTGATCAGCAAGGATGTTCATCCGCCCTCCGTTAAATACTCACATCTAATAGCAGAAGTGAGTGATCAGTTACCCTATAGCCGACCACACAGACTCTGGCAGAGCACCTTTCGAGCTCTTGTGGTATTTGATGGAGAACCAGGTGACCAACCCAGAACTCTCCAGGCTGTGAGACGCTGTCGCTGCCTTTCCGCCACCGAGTATTCATCTCACTTGTGAAACAAACGTAACGTATTCGCAGTTACTTCCACAAGGAAGGAATTATATAATCAGTAACCTGGGAACACACCAGATAGCTAACACTTATGTAACAGAAAAAGGCCAGGAGGCATGCGGATGGGGGCCACGGTTCGTCAACTGTGCTAACTCATGCTCCTTCAACATCCACAGCAACAACATTTCTCTATATCCAATTTGGAGATCATGCGTACAAGACATACACAAGGCGGTGGCTAGGCCATGGTCCACTCTACCCTTGATGGAACGCCACTTTGAGCTTAGCATAACCACGAGGACGGTACACCACGTCCACCGCCCCAACAAAGATTCGCAGTCTCCTGAAACGAATCATTGTGGTAGAGGGTCTTAGACAGGTAGGCACGGTGTCAAGATTCAAATCAACCGCAGCCACATCGGGGATATGAGGCAGCCACTAAAGTATTTGAAATAAAATAAACACGCAACACTGACACGGAATATGCAGCAGCATAATAGCGCTGAGCAAATCAACTAAATTGGTATACTTTTGTGCAGATTAAGAAGACCTGATTTAAGCGTAAATCGGTATGCCCCAACTGCGGTAAGGAAGCATGATGTATGCAACATCATCCTCAGCATGAGGTACCATGGAAAACAGTACAAGTCATTCTAGTCAACGCCTAATGGAAAAAGATTTGGATTGCTCAGTCGTCTGCACTGTTTAATATGTATCAATGTGGATTATGACTATAAAACAACTGGCGCACATAAACACACTCCAGCTTGATCTATCAAATAACAAAGTGGGGTAGGGAGTTTAGTGCGACATTCAAACATTTGTTAAAATGGCTGAAGTGGGACATAGACTACTGCTTAACATGGAGTTTCAGAGATGGTAGACTCGGATGAAGAAGTAAATTTGTCAGCAGTCTAAATGACTTCACTGTTGACTTAATTTTAAGTGTACAGGCTAATTTTCAAACCATAGCTACCTACGTAACTGGCATCGTCCAGTGTCTAATATACTAATATGAGGCCACCGCATAACCGCCGGTAACATCCAATGAACTTTCCGGGTAGCACAAATCTTTGTCAGTTTTCGTTGTCCGACATCGCGGATCCTGTAGCTCTTAAACGTCACGCATTAGCCATAGTAGCCAAGCCTGGCTAGCGTATTCGACGCGGGGTCGCAGATAGGCATCAGTGAGTGAATGAGGGACCACATTCCTGAGTGCATTTTGCAAGGGACCAATGTGCTGGTCTGAAGTGGAAGTGGTTCTCGAGTACCAGCACACCAGGTGTGCTTTCTTGGGAATAATAAATACTGAATATTGAGAATAGAGGGGCAGTAGTTATGTGTCTGTATTTCTTCAATATAGTTAAATCGGGAGCTTGTGCGGAATCACCTCACTGATTCCTGCGTGTTCGCAGTACATTACAGCTGAGAGCCTGTAGTTGCAGGCCTGTCATTGGCGAATGTGAAGGACTCGGTATTGTCCACGTAGAGTGACAGCCTCTTCCTCGCCGACCAGTTATATGGTCCATCAAGTACACACTGGTGAATCGTGTGGTCGTCAGATCTATTGATCGCCCGCCAAACTTTAAGTTCGTCCACGAAGAGTAAAAGTTTGAGGTGATAAACACTGTAAGATCGCTAGTGGAGTTTAAAGGCAGACAATGCCAGAGGAACGAAGCTTGAGGTACTTCTCCCTCAACTCGATTTGGGTCGGGCAAAGATGCCCAGCCTCTGAACTTTAACAACCGTTCGTGGAGGATGTTATCGCTCTATCCCAATACTGAGTTATCAAGATCATAGCTTCGCTTCTTTTAAAGCCCTATGCGATGATTCAAATGATCGAACACTTAAAAAGTCCGGCTAGACAGCAACGATTTCTATTCTTTCTTCCATGGCTTATGTTCAATTGTTCCGCGTAATTAACTACTTCGTGATCCATCGATGTTGACGAAATCAATGCTATTCTGGTGCAGTGTTACCGTAACTTTCCAGCTAATCCATCAATGAGTCTGCAGTAACCGCTTCCAGTACTTTGGCGAGCACTGAGAGTGGCTCTATTGAGCGGTGCTTGACAGGCTGAGATCGACTTCCTGCCCTAGGCTTAGTATTGCTAATGAGACTTTTGCACACAGACGGGAAAATATTCCCATCTAGACAGTGCTGAAAAACTCCAGTAAGTGGTTCGGTTACATGCGTGGCTGCCATTTCCAGTGTTTCCGGTGAATGTTATCCGCTCTAGAAGAAATGTGTGCGTCTAAGGACAGCAGCATTTTAATACCATTTCTACGGGGAAAATGACGTTTAATAAAACTGTCGGTGAACTAACAAACAGGGAAAGGGTTCAAACCCCGTATTTCTTAGAAGGTAGATGAATACTTGACCCGCAAGGATTTGGTCATCTCTCTCGTCGTACGCGTTTTCCCGCCAGTAGTATAGAGTGGCGAGATTCCGAACTGCACTTTACGTAGACTATTAGAATGTCTGTAAAAAGTTTGGCGGTTCCAACAAAGTCGTCTCACCAGCTCTTGTTGGCTGGTCAACTTGTCTTCATGAACCAAACGCACATGGTAGTTGCTTAGATCAGCGTGCGTAGCCCAATTTCTGAACCGATACAGCCCTTGTAAACTCGTCATGTTAAAAGGTTTAACATCACATACTTCCTTGTTTTGCTTCTCAGGAACTGGTCTAAAGCTTTTGGCATTTATAGCTTTATGACTAGTGAGGTGAAGGTTTTTGCATCGTTTCCTAGGCTATCCATGGAGGAAACTCAGGCATGTAAGTTCATCTGTTTTCTTCCGTGGTTGCGGACGCTGCATCCTAGTGTATAACAGAATGCACTCGTATGGGCACTTCATAGGGATACTCGGCGCAGCAAACGTGCTTAAACACTAGAGTCACATGATTACCACGACTCAGCAGACTCCATGTCTCAGTGCATTTTCTTCCTTGCTGTATTAAATATCGTAAAGTACTTCATTGATTAGTTGCCAAGTTTAAGAGAAAGAAATTGGTCTCAACCTCTTTTGCATTTGTGGGACAGGAACCAGAGGTATTGATGCTGGTAGTCTTAGAGTGCATAGTTACTTGGGCGTTTAAGATCCCATATAGTTCCGCGGCGTGTGCCATCATAAATAGGCATAAATAGACAAGCTTATCCGCGCGATATTATTACGCAAACCGAAAAGACAGGATTTAAAAAACTAAGGCTTATCATCCACCTCCAGTTGACTTTGTGCTTGTCAAACTTGTGTCAGCTAGCGCCTCCGTGCGTATTAGCGCCAACAGCAATTCCATGGATCAGCGTATAGCCATAAGAACTCGGTGGGAATAGTTGCCTACCCCTACGTTTTGCCGGACTATCTAATACACAGGCCAACCAATTGATGCCAGTATTCCGACTGCGCATCAGTGGCTTTCAACGGACAATTCGGATTCTAATGGGCCACCCATGACAAGCCTTCCGATAATGAGTCCAAAACGTAGTACGCTGCGCTGTTGATGCTTGTGCATCGCAACTAAAACATTGCCAGTCTGGAAGGAATAAATAACAGTTCATGTCGTTCAGTAATTTTAACACCCTTAACCTGAGCTGTGTATAAAAGGATGTACCGTTAAACAGCTCATACGGATATGCAAGTACTATTTCAGTTCCTCCTATTGACAAATCGCAGGTTGATCGCGAAAAAACCGATTTCGTTAACAAAAACAGTATATTCTGACCTAGTAGTTCCTGTTCCACTAACCATAACCGTTAACTTTAATTTATTTTTAAGTGATGGTCAATCCGTTTTGCTTTGGAAACCAGCATTATCCTTTATCAGTAGCGTAAAGGTTGCTCGGCATTTATCATCCGGTAAGCACAGCACAGTGCTCTGGTTCCCACTCAAATAGGATGAGCATTATTTGTGAAAGCATAGCTTTCGTAAACCAATGTGGCTCCTTGCATCCGACGAGGCTGACTACTTGAGCTACTGTGTAAGTCACCAAAATGACTGTTTTGGTGATTTCACAACCTGAAGCTACGGGGTCAAGTAGTCGTGAACCAGCTCAGCTAGAAGTGTGGCCAGGTGTTTGCGGAAGAAAATGTAAAAAATGGACAAAGTTGCAGAACAATGTACCTCGATAAGACTGCGAAGGTTGACAAATGTGTCCCAAAGATCCGTTCCGTCTCTCCTCCTAGATAAAGGCACTGTCTCTGCATTCAAGGTTTTGATTTTCTGGAATTCTGCCGACTTTTGTTCGAACTCTGTCAGTAATTTCTGAGGGACGAAGCAAGAAATTAATCGGTTTTTAAGGGATGCACCGAAATGGTAACTTCTGTGGTTTTAGTCTTATTTACCTGATGTTCCTCAACATATTGCATCCAAAGCGATTCGTGAGTATCCGACCCCTGACGGCCATTTCTTGTAGATCTTTCGGAGATGGGAGTGACAATCAAGCCGGACTGAAGCTGCTCCAGTCTGCTCTCACACTTTTGAAGCCAGAACCGTAATCGATCGTTCAGCTCATCATATTGCATCTGCTGCGCCCTGATGTTACTCGACAAATCTGTCAACTGTACGGGAAATGACATGCATAAATGAAAGTTGTTCATCGACAGGGCGCATATGATGAAATGCGGCTGAACCAACCGTGTGAATTAAGTAAATTAATGAAATTCACGCCGCCCAACGGTTACATAATTTATTTTTACGTATTTCTGAATTATCTCCTTTTACATTGCATTAGTAACGTAGCCCATAGGGATAAAAGAGGACAACATATTCTGCGTTGTGGGATACACATGGACGACCGCTGTGGGGCCATCGGTATATTAACAGATATAGTATAGAAGAGAAAATATCTCAGTAGGTGCGATGGATGATGCATATGTGGCGCAGTTGCAAACAGGAGAGTGCCGGTGAGCAGCAAAATGGCGCATTCACCTTGTGAGAATTAAACCCATCTCCGGTGTCATGTCTTTATGGCAATACGAAATAGGATGTGCTAGAGGTACATGAAACTGCTTCCAACTTGCACCGCGTACAACGAGGATTCCTCTGCGAATGTGACCGCTTCCCATTTTCCTCGCTTCTACACCATAGTGTATTCATGTGTACTCGAGTGTTTAAACACCCGCAATCTCTCTCAATGACGCTAAGTGATTGACACATTCAGGTGGCTTAAAGACTAGCCAAACGGTTATTCTCATACTGGAATGACCTCACAGGTGGCAAGAAACACATATAAAGCAGTTCTATCCACCGAAATATAAATACAGGTAAAATTGTCATTTTTTGATAAATCTTTAATTAACATGCTGAAACCATTTACGAGAAAGCCCAACAAAAACATCTCCAAAATTAAACAATGCCGTTGTGATATCTGCAAATTCCAGCATTAGCATTTTGAATTTGGCAGGGAACACCTGCTTTCCAGTCATGGCACAGCTTCACAATTCCTGAGCCGGTCCGGCTGACCATTTTAGTCTGGCTGCTGGCTGCGTCAAAGTAAACCGGACTTGGCTTTGGCCAAAGGGGATATGGACCCCAAATACCACACTTTAACCCGTGCAACTTCTACACAGCACTGGTTTTTCAGACATATCTATTTTTTAGTGATTGATGCAAGGCGAAATTTGGGTTAAATTTTCAAAATATTGTTTACTTAGTGAGAGGTTTCATTTTTAGATCATGTGTGACTACCTTCTTATAATGGCAAGGTTGTGATTACGAACAAACCGGCATGCTACTCGCTCATCTGCGAACACTCTTTCTCAGCTGCGTTTTGTCAAACAAACGTGTGTTCACATATACTCGACCCAGCTTCATCAGCGCTATCTAGGGCACTCCATCTTTCGGATCTAGCTCATGTGGATCGTCCTTTATCTCCATATGGCGGTATTCCCCCCATTCCCGCATAAACAATCGAGCAATTTTCCGAATCACGAACCACACACTAATATTTGTCCTCTCAAACAAAAGCCAACTCCACGTTTTATCCGACGAGTCAGCGACCACAACTGTCCACCCTTCATCAAACTGGCTATCGGGCACGTTGTGGCCCTATCGCTCACTTGCTCTGTATGCCGTGTTAACGACCTAGCCGCGTAATCCTTCCCTGGTCAGAAGCACAGAACGCGACGACCTTGAACATGTGAACAATACAGCGTACTCGCGACCCGCAGGAAACCATAAGCGCTCAGGCCTTGATCGGAATAGCATCGCTCGACGCAAAGGATTGTGGCGACCAATGAAAGGTCCATGTGACAGCATCCAGATCGACAGTAGTTCGTGACCTCCCTTCATGCCATAAAAAGGTACGGATCGGAATCAAGTGCAGCCGTTGCCAAGGCAAGTTCCATTGCAAATGTTCCAAGGTCACAGCGAACCAGTTGAAGGTACACAAAAGGAAACCTGATTCAGTGTGGTTTTGTTCAGTAACTATAGTCATCCCACTGGTAAATATTGTACATGAACTATCGCAGAAGTAAGATAGACTGGTAGCAATGTTTGAACAAATGAGGAGAACCAAAAGTGATTTATTTGAAGAAAGGGTGACGGAGAGTAAATCCCAGTCACTCCCATCAGTCCTCAGATTAAAAATAAGGAAGGCTGAGCAGCGCGCTAAAAATGCACCGTCTGTGGCTTTTAACTCCAATACCACCAGTTACTCGAATATGCTTGAAGCAACTACCGCCAGTCCGATTGCACTGAGTACGGTCAGGGGCGTCCACCCTCTAAACGGCTCCGAAAATGCAGAAGAACTTCGAAACCAGTGGTGGCTGGAACCTGATTACTGCCAAAGGTGACGGATAACCTAGATCTTCGGCCACTCCTACTGGATCCAGAGTAAATGGAGAAGACGAAGCTGTACCAACACAGCCTCCATCGGCTGTATGTAGACCAGCTGGTCGTTTAACTTCAAACTGAGTTGAATGTAGTTTAGCAGCGGTAATTTTCACCAACGTTCCATAATCGACGCCAAATTGCTTAGAAGGAAAACAACTCGATGAAGTGAGCCAGTGGAATTAAATATGTGATATTATGAGTGTTGTAGCTAAGTCCGTAAATTTGACACGCTTTATCCGTCACCCAAACTCACAGCACTACGGCGAACCAAGAGTTCTCCGAGTTGTGTTGACTTCTGCCAATACAGCAGAAGCTGTTCTGTTATCGACAGCTCACATCTGGAGTGGATCGTGTTTCGTCCGCCTATTCCCGGATATTCCGTGGAGCGAGCGCAGATAGGCGAAGCACTACTTGGACGAAAACCGGAAGGAATCCGTAGCCAGGACCATCCTGGTACACGGCGTTCCAGAGGATGGAACTCATGATGAGTACGAAGTGACCACAAGACCAGGAGCAACGGCGATATATTCGCGGGATTCTCGCTCTGGAAAACATCATAGCGCGTTTGATACCGAGACGAAACATATCACCCAAATACAAAGGATGTGGCTCGATGATTGTGAACGGGTTCCTTCAATCTAGACAAACGTCAGCAACGACATTAGCGTGTTGGTATACGGGTTGCAGTGGCCTTTCTTCCGAGCTCCAGATCAAAGCAGGATCTGATAAGTAAACACACGAGAGCAAACACTTAGTCGTGCCACTTCCCGACAAAAGTTCGGCTAACCTCACTCAACTAGCCAGCGAAACTGGCACACACACCCCATACATTACCTGCAAAGAGAAGAGCGAAGAGGTAATGGTGGGATCCATGGATCTGACACAGATGAGTTCGTCATCGCCACAACCAAACAACGATTGGTTGCCGATCTTTTACATTTTACTCAAAACACCCCACGATCCATTGCTAAAAACAGAAAAACGTTCCTGCATGTACACCAGTGCACAAGGTCTCCTATACAAGCTTGCCGAACTGCGGCTAAGTCAAGCTTCACATGCTTGGGACCTCATACACTTTACGGAAACCTGGTTGTACTCAGAAATTACCGATACTGAAGTTGCGATAACTGGTATGTGCCTTCTCCGAAACGATAGCCCTAGCAATGGCGGGGTTACTGTTATACTACCGCAGCGACCTGCAGTGCGAACCGGTGGTCGATCCTGAAATTCTGATCATAGACTCACTGATGCAGGTTGCGACTGAGACGCAACGACACTTGCCTTTTGACCGTTGTATATCGTCCCCCAATGTCTACCCTGAGACGTACTCCCGCTTGACATTAGTTTTGGGAAGGGTCATACGACGACGATACAGTCATGTTCTCAAATACGGCGACTCCAAGATTCACGATTTTGAAGTTCTGGCATTCCACACCGAGCAATTCAAGGCAGAACTGCAAGAGTATATTGCAAGCATTCCGCTCTTTAGCCATGTTACTTCGCCTACCCGATTCAGAGCCAGAAGTAAACCATCTGTGCTCAATTTAGTGTTCGCAAATGAAGAGCTCTTGTGTGGCATTCCAGGCGAGCAACACCCAATTTCTATTCGGATCAGTTACGGTCCTCGTGATCGCTAGACCAAGGTTCACTTCAATGAGAATCGAGGTCAACATTGAGATTGCGCGTCACAATCCACCCACATAACGTGTACTTCCAAATAATCCTCAACAGAGTAACTTGTTTCAAAAATCACCCACTTCGACATATTGGTATCATTTGTGGAGTTATCGAACGACATTTCCATTGACAACGCTTGGATGAAATTTACTGACAAGTTCAATGTTCTGACTAAATTTTCCTCGGTCAACAAGCCCCTTCCTTCATTCGGAGCCGAACCCGAAAGCACATGACATTAAGGGACGCAGCATGTCATGTGTATAGAGCAAGACCTAACGCTGACCACTGGAGTAACTATATTGTGCATCTAATCACTGTAACGCCCTTTTCCATAAGAACAAAGTATTACACAGTCAGAGTCTAGCGGAAAATTTTTGTCCTAACATAGAGCTTCTGTACAGACATGTGAGCGGTCTCCGGAATGTGCAAATTGGTGATCCCACACTTATATCAGCAGATGGATGCGCTCAAACCGCCGTGAATGAGGCTAATGTCCTACGGCTCCAATATAATCCAATTTTCCAATGTGATACCAGCATGTGTAACAAACCTGTCTCAAACTCCCAGAGACCAGTATTTACGAATGTCACCTTTAGTTTGGCGACCATTTTGAGGAAACTGCTCTCGTTCTGCACCGATATTTCCCTCGGGGTTGACAAACTTCGCCCGAAAGCACTGCAGGTGGCATCCACGAGAATAGTTGAACCATTAACGAGATTTTTTCAAAGGTGCCTGCACGAGCAGCAGGTCCAGAGCATGTAGAAGCAAAGCATCATTACCTCGATTTGCAAGTGTAGTAGCCATTCAGAGTCCGCCAACTCTAGCTCAGTGATTCTCCTCCCGGTGCTTTCAAAGCTGATGGAATCAATCACAGCTGAGACTGAATTGGGCTACTTTGAAATATCTAACATCATGGCACCGGAGCAACACTGATTCCGTCAGCATCGGTCACGTACTACCAATCTAATTATGGCCCTTGGAAGTTGGACCGAGATAGCCAACAGTGCGATCGGTATTGATGTCATTTACCTAGACTTTTCTAAAGCCCTCGACCACATAGATCACCTCATCCTTCTCCAAAAGCTGCAAGCGTGCGGGTTTGGGAACACTATCCTTGGGTGGATTGGAAACTTTCTCCTCATGCGGCGTCTTTAGGGTCAAGTTGGCGGATCATTTTCTAATCCAATTAATGTGGACTGCGGGGTTTCACGAGGGTCAGTGTTTGGGTCACTGTTATTTTACTCTACAGTAACGACATTGCGAGTGTCCTCAAGCCAACATTCCTGCTTGTGGCCGATGACAACAAGATATGGCGGGCATTCGACTGCCAAGGAAATCACGATACGCTGCAACAAGACTTAGACCAGGCGTTTGAATAGCCAAAGGCATATCTACTTCCGTTTAACACGGACAATTGCGAAACTGCATGTCCGCCACAAACCCACGTGCGCATTTAAGCTTGGCGACGACATACTGAAAACCGCCCCACCATAGCAAGACGTTGAGGTGGTGATGCAAGACTACCTGGGTTGTTCGGCACAGTCCTTGAAGACGTCGAAAACCGCGAACCAACATGTTGGTATGTTACTGAGAGCGTTCGGACGCTTCGATCTCTCCATCTTTACCCAAATGCTCAATGTGTATGTGAGGCCCCATGTAGAGTACGAGATCCAGACTTGGCAACCCTGGTTACAGCGGAATCCGGCTGCACTGAAGTCCGCCCAACGAAGGGCAACGAAAAATTTGAAGCGGTTGTTCCATCTGCCATGCCATAGACGACTGAGAGCCCTGGGTGTGTCCAGCGGCATATACCGCCGTCTACGGGGTCATCTCATGTTGGGATTCCAGATGTTGAAAAACCCCGGTCAGGTCTACCGTCACCTGCTGAAGCTTAGCCATAACACGGAATTGAGGGGTCATATGTTGAAACTTGTCACCCAATACAGTCGGCTGGAATGTCGCCGAAAGTATGTTTCCCTTCGAGTTCGTCAACCGTATAACGCTCTTCCGACTTTTGTCATCTATGCGCCTAGCTCCCCATTTTTACAAAAAGACTAGACGATGCTTTACATCACCTACATTAGTTAAGCTGATTTCCATACATTGAGTGAGGACATGGCGCAGGCAAACTTTGTGCACACCAACCCCTCGAGATCGGGGTAGACGGATATATATTTGTGGTAATGTGGGTAATATGGTTAGTCCACAGATATGTTTTTTCAGTTTCGTGCAACTTTTGTTTTAACTAACGTTATTCCTAAAAACCATCCTATGAGACTCGTCAAGCAATAGCTTCTTTTATCCGTATTATACCATTGTTTCATTGTTAAAGAAGCGCTCTTAACTCCTCTCTGTAACAGTAAACTTCTGACATTCCAATACTCACTCTTTTAATACCAGTTTGTGGTAATACATGTCAGTGTGCATTGTAATCCCTGGAGATACGTGAATAACATGACGATTGAGGTGACGGATTAATCAACACATAAATGCGCAATAGCGGGTACATTTTATTGAATAAACTCGGAATTTTAACATTTTCCTCCTAGCAGCCCACAAGTTACATAATTCAGCCACAATCCGGAACAGAACCAAACGCGTTGTGCCTTAAGGGGGCTCGTCAGTGGTGCGCAGTCCCGCGATTCCCGGCCGGAGATGGAACCCGTGACCGCTAAAACTTGACGCCAAGTAGCCAGTAGCTTAAGCCACTGAGCCATGGGGGACGGCAGCTAGGCTACATGATTTGCAGGAACTGGGATATATCCCGACCTATCTTTCGCTGCCACGCAGGTTACTACCCTTGCAGATGACAACGGTTAGCCTTCAGACAAGGGCTTCCTCTCACTAGACGCTTCGTGTATGCCATTTTAGATCAGGATAGGTTATTTTTACCTTACTGACTGGCTAGTTGGCAGCAGCCTCTAGCGGCCATGGGTTCGATCACCAGTGGCAACCGAGGGAATGCGCACCACGGACGAGCCCTAATAGAGCGAAACGCGTCTGGTGCTTTTGCTGATTGTGGCTGAGTTTTGTAGCTTTTGAGCAGCTGGGATGAAAAACATTCACCTTAGGACTAGAACCTTCCTACACATAGGTGAACATGAAAATCTCTTAACTAGTACTTCTGCTCTGGAGGCTTTTCAGCCTTGTCAAATCTAGTGTCGTCGCAGCAGCAATCATTCAGTGACCTGTGTGAATCATATGGCATGATCAGCATGTAATTGCTATTTAACAATGCGTTACAGGTGATATTAGACACCATGATTTCTTTTTGATTGCCCAAACATTATTTGGACCGTCATTAATGGTTAGATAAACATGTAAACACTACGTGTTTCCCCACAAGGAGTAGAAAGCTACCTACCGCATCGCAGTACTCGGATGCCAAACGGCACTATGTCATTTGGTGTAGACTGTAAATAATAGCTTATTCGTAATTTGCGTGTCTTTGCAAAACTAAGTGTGTTTTCCGAATCCTAATCACCATTTAACCTTTTCGCGACATACTAGGTTATCTAACTGTGGTAATTGTGCTTATCAGTACCACGTCGTTTTTACTGGTACCTCTGTAATGACCTAGTTATTCCCCTTGTTTGCCTGTGCAAAACGTTATTAAAATATAATACTGTTTTGTACCCAAATCCCTTAGAAACCTTGCCCGTTCGAATCATGACTGCGTGTGTTGGAGTCACACAGATGAACCACATTTCGCGCGCTTCCGGCATTCCGCTTCGAAGTGTTCCCTGCTTCTCGACTACTGACCACTTTTCCCACTAACTAGAACCTTTTTGCGGTGCCTTTAGCTAACGTGATTGCACATTTTGACCATAAACATCGATGTCGTCCTGATATTCGTCTTTTCCGACTTTTGTTTGAGGTGAGAGGAACCTAAGTTAATAGTGACCGAACAATTCCACTCTACATTCGTGCATGAATGCGTTCGACATGATCCAAGTAAGCTGCTCCCGTCACTAATAACCCGTGTCATGTTACGTAATGCCAGCAACGACAGTGCAATTCAGGCAAATCTAACAGATCGTTCATCACCTCATTGAGTTTTCTATTGACACTCCGTAAGGAAGCAGTGCATTTCATTGTAAATCAATGGAGAACTAGGAATTTTAAAACAATGCAACTTTTAGCGCTTACATTTGCCACGCTTTGGGTGAGGAGTTTCCACTTCTTCCTCAGACGCTCAACTTTTCTCCTCGCTCTGTTCCCTACCGTTTCTGTTCTCACTGGCTCCACACGATGCGCCGCGCGTTCGACTGTGCCTTCACTAGACGCAGTCAAGACTGGATGCAAGACCAGCAAATTGGTCATCGCCAAAGCCACGCTTGAAGAAGCACGACATAATCGGTCGGCATTGTCGCTCAGTTCCAGTAATTTTGATTGGTTGCTGTTCAGTTCTTCGGAAATATTCTAATAAAGATGGGACAAATGAAGGGGGCACTGCTGTAAAATTGATTCAGTGGCTTTTTCTAGTCTGCTAAGTGTTAAATAGATTTCCTTCTTTTAAAACTGTACTGCTCGTCCCGTATGTAGCAATTCGGGACAATTCTGGTTTCCATAACACCGACAGATAAAATGTGATGGACTCCAAAGACCTGTTGGCAGCGGAACAAGCTCATATTCGTGAAGAGAAGCTGGCTAGCCGAATAACCTCCTCGTGATGCCAGCTTGGTGGTTCGGGTTTATCTCGTTCCACCAAATAGTTCAGCAGCAGTGTTCCAGGATGTGGTGAATTTTCTCCCGGCAAGCGTTCTCCCACGAAAAGCTACAGATGTCTGTTTAACAACACTGCGACGTGGCGGACGTGAGTGGCCACTAACTAAAGTCACTGCCTCCTGCTTACCCGGATAATCATATTCAATGCATGGACCTCAGTTATCTCTTCGCACATTTGTAAGGCGATCAAACGGTCAAAAATGTAGCGGCACATATAAAAACCCAAACAACACAGCTACAGATATACATGCCTACGTGTATACATACACTCACAACTATGCATTAACTACTATGGTTAACATGCAGTTTGTACATATTTCCATCACTCGTTGTTCTGTTATAATGATCATGTCTGCATTTGCGTGTCTTGCGTCGTCGAGAATAACATATTTATTTATTTATTTACTGCTTAGTGGAATCTCTTTGGTCTGTATTATTGCCTGCGTGTCAGTTTAAGATTCAAGTGAAAGTCATTACATTCCATTTTTACTGGCAGTGTTTTAGGTTGCGCTTACATTGAGTAACGCCTCGTATCATAAAATGCAAGGCAATTAGGTAGAGATGATCCAGAACTTGCCTGCACATATTGTGCATACCCTCGATATAAACTTTCCACTTCAGTAGTGTACGCCGCAACGCATTTTCATCAGCGGTTAAGCTCTCCAGCCTGGATCATCGTAGTGTGCGAAGCTTCAGTGACTAACCCTCGTTTCTCACAAACTACTCACACACATAAGTAATAGTTGTAGGCATTTCACATACATTTTTGTATTCTTAAGGGAATATTCTGCATACAACTACTGGAAAGTGTTCAGCTCACTTTGGTTATTTGTAGAACACGGTCTGATTCTCTTGGGTCGGCCACCACATCGTGCAGATTTTGTTGGTTAGATCCTTGTTCATCAAGCCACTGTTGTAGTGTATGCAAGTTCTGGTTGAACTCTAACTCCTCTGCTTGCAGCGACTGTAGTTTCGGTGCTACCTCCTAAAACGGAAATGTTCGTAACACAGTACATGGGGTCCTTCGGGTGTGGCTCCTCTGTAGCACACTGTGCACCAACATCAACAGAATGAAATGAAAAATGGGATGATTGTGCCTACTTAAACGCACATCAGTAAGCAAAAAGAACAAGTTTCCTAGGCCGGCTCAGTAAGCTTTGCTTGGCGACCACTGGGGCTGGATACTATGCAGTATCTCATCAACACAATTCGTTCTGTCCATCATATGCACTGAAGATTGAACTGTTCGAATTGAAAACTATGACACAGCTCTGTCTTCTTGGAGATCGACAACCTCGCCTGTACGGTTTGCCAATGACTCACAAAGAAAGGAATTCCGCTGCGCCCAATAGTCGCAAGTTTGGGTGCACCGTACCAAAATAGCACGATAACTTAGACGGAAAACACTTGATTTCATCTGATGTTTGCTCGTTATTCACCAGCGTTCCTTTAGAAGAGACCCACAACATTAATGTTACTCATGCGGACAAAATAGGCTTTCTGGCGAATAATCTCAAGTCGATAATCCGCCTGTGCACGAAAGACTTTCAATTCCAATTCAATTGAACCATGTACTGACAAATAGGTACCGTGGCCAAGGGCATCCAACTTGGCTCAAACCTAGTTGCTATTTTCGTGGGAAACTTAGGAAAACACTAAACAGTCATTTTATACAAAATGTGCGTATGTACAGCATATACCTGGATGATACACTTGTTGTGATTTGTAAGTAGGAGGGGAAGTTATTAGGATTTGTGTAGCGCTCATCTGGCAACGCTCTCAACCAGTGTCATACTCTGATCAACTTCACAATAGAAAACAAAACGGATAATACTTTCCAGGTTCTGGATGCGAATCTGAAGTGTACACTCACTCGATCAGTGTAACGTAAGCGTACCTGGACGGAGCAGTATCTCAATTTCACCAGTTTCTGCTCCCATCAACCACCAACGAGCACTCTTGCGCACCATTTTCACAAGAGCTCGTAAGGCCTGCTCCGAAGGGAAAATTCACAATAAACTGCGACTTATTTCAGCAACACTACCAGAGAACGGGTATCCCGAGATGCTCATCGCGTGCCACTCAAACGTAAAATCCATCGAGAAACCTAGTACTGACATCCCTAAGAAGGTATTCATCAACGTGCCATTCATATGGGACCAAAATTATAGGGCGATTTCGATATCGTCACCGTCAGTTCATTAAGGACTGCTATTATGCGGCCGGGCTAGTACTATTCCACCAAGTTAAAAGGTTGTTCTGCAAATCCGGCCTGGACAAGATTGACTCTAAAGTTACCGTCTCCTGCATCCTCCTTTTTCACCGTACTTGCGGTAGCAATGACGTCAGTCGAACTGAGACGAAGCTGTCCAGGGGGTATCAGAACATACCCCACATAACCTGGTGATTAATGACCTTAAGCCTTCCTCTAGTCCCGTTGCTCAACATATCTTTGATTGCTCTACTTGCCAACTTCCGCGGGAATCGTAGAAATTACTTGGTGCAGCACTGCTCGTCTGTTTCTTTGCAGAGGATTCAGCGATTCGTTAGCTAAACCCTAGGTTATGTAAGTAGACGGACCTTATCACTATCCTCGTCTTGACCTCGTGAGGTTATCGATTTGCCTTATTTAAACAGAACGATTTCACGCATTGTCTTACCCTCGTGTGTACAACATACTATCACTACTGTTTATCTGGAAGCAGTTGATGAGCAAATACGAAATAGTTGAATTCGGTTTATTCTGTTAAAGTGTTTCTTCTTGCTATTTTGAAGTTCGTGTTGGGAACATCCAGTTGGGAAACTACACTGAGACATTGGGTGTTGTTCACCCATTAATTAGTCAAAACAATTAGGTCAAAAGCTAGCTAGTAAAATGCGAAGACGTGCCAGGTCTTGACAAGATCATGAGGCGATTAGAGATATTTGACAGAACAAATGAGAGCACGTCGGAGCATATCATAGGTGCACAGTCCAAACCTGACATAGAATTGAGCATACCATCATCCATGGTAATAAAGTTTTGTTCAATTCAGAGAAAATTCTAATTTGAGGACATTTGTGTCTTGAGATAGGATGTTCTACCCACCACGGAGAATCGAGCATTAAAGCAAATTCTTTGAAAGTTTTATTGGTTTACCTACTACTACACGCTCCATGTAATATCAACGATGCTGGAATTGCAGCCAAGGGTTGGTTTTAAGCAAAAGTCAAGCTACTTAACAAGTGACAAAATGAGTCGTTAAACAAGTGTTTCTAGATGTGGAAGAACCATTCGGTGAAGGTGAAATGCTGATTAAATAACAATTTCAGAATAATATTAGCTTTGGTAAGTTCTCATATACTCAACTCAGAATACCATTGAAAAATGGCATAACGGTCAATTGACAAAAGATTAATCATGCTGCCCTTTCTAATTCAGTTGCATCTCTGAAAAACCTTAATTTTCGACTACCACTACAATCTGCTCTATATCGCAGTACAACTCTTGTAGTGAAACAGTAATGGAAAAACTTACTGCTAGAGCCTTGCAAAAGTTTTCATAATGGCCTTTTATTTCATTATACGTGGTCTTGGGACAAAATTGGTTGCAGCGCTCTTGAAGATCACTACTGAGCTGTTCCAGAGATTTCAGCTCAGATTGCAATGCAATAACTTCGTTCTGCAGGTTCTAAAATGCAAACGATGGATGCACACCAGTCCAGCAGATGAGATTATAACGGCTGAATCAGTTCTTTAATTGACCTAAACTAAACGAACTGATCTTTCAATTGAGCTTATGCTACTGTTTTCAATTTTCTCTAATGAGTCTAGTTGTGTACAATAAAGCGTAGCCAAAGATCGCCCGGTTTTGCCAACCCTGGAACTCTCTCTCAAAGACAGTTGTGTTCTCCCATACAGTGGACATATTAGCAAATACGGTTGCAGGTTGCTGTTCATTCCCAACACTCCGTTACCTAATTTGCGTTATTGTGGAGTACCTTAATCAGGCCCATCTACCGGATTAATGTGCCACACGGATCCAACCAGGCGGCACATGATTGGGCGACTAAATTTCACTTTTCTAACGCTTTGTGTCAACGACCATTGAACTCCGTGTTCTAGTGTATGTTTGCATTCGACTGGTATTTTACACTAGGTTATTTGCCAACGAAGTTAACTCGGTAGACGTTGGGTAGATGATTCACATAGCTTTTGGTTTTACAATATTCACACTAACAATCCTACAGCACTTATCGAGCACTTAATTTATCACCCGTGATAAATCACTGTTTTAAAGCATTCATTCCTGCAGCTCACAAGCTACATAGCACAGCGTAGTCCGGAAAAGCACCAGATGCGTATCGTCCCATTGGGGCTAGTCAGTGATGTCATCAGTGGACAAGCTGTTTCTACCACTCAAAAATAAACAAACTCCATATGGCGCTTACCTGATATCCTTGCAAGATTCTTGAAATGGGTCTCATGACGTCCGCTGAACCCAGTAGTTCAGATTCCTTTGCAAGATTTTCCGAGGACGTATCTGGCGAAACCATGATATTGCACTGGACTAGTTCGTTAAGCTTTTGTGATATGGTGCTACACCATCCTTCCCATTTCAAAATGCCAGCCTGAAATTCCATAGCCAAATTCATTATGAACTCCAACATCTTTAGCTCATTAGAACTAGTTGATTCCAGTTGTGCAATTTGATCACGAACATCCTCCACTGGGATGGAGAGTGGGGCAGCGTCGATTTGCAATGCTTCAAGCGTAGTCCTCAGTTGATCAGCTGACGAACATAGGTCCTCCACAATTCTCGCTCCATCAGTATGCACTGCCCTCATCATTTGTTCCATCAAGTCAATACGATGCCTGTAAGTTTGGACGAGATCTGTCACTTCGAAAGTACGGATTGGTTGCTGTCTTTCCAGACTGGAATGGCTGAGGGACGGACGATCGCATAAGGCGGACCACGTCGATTGAGTAGATTGCATAACGATCGCTCTCGAGTGGTCACGGATGTAGGTAGGAAGACGCACAGGGACCTTGAAGATATGAAGGAGAAACTCGTGAATGCAGATACTGATTTGAGGTAAAATCTTTGACTTCGGTGATACACCGATTCTGTCGGATATTGATCAACTAGAAAGAAAATGATTTGGTGCTAAGTGCAGTGAACTTCAGTAGCTTAGATGAGTCATAATACCAAAACAAACCATAATTACAACGAGGCAACAACTTTAACTGATAGCCTGGTGCCGTGAAGGGTCGCAAGACTGTAACTTGTAAGTTAACATTTTGGGAAACTACCTTTCCTCCTTGGCTAATGTATACAATATAAGCTGAGCATTCATACGTTCTGGTCGCAGGTCAGGTACGACCTCACGCCCTGTTCCTCATTTAGTATCCAAAGCCAATGTCATCCACATACACGTGTGATGTGCGTGCATCTGGTTTATTCAGATTATTCTTCTCTATCCTCTCTCCTCGTTCTCGCAGCGTTGTCAATATACGCTCATTTGGACCGGATTTACTAGTTCTACACAGTGATCTATCATACGTAAAAATATCTACTATTAAAGTCCTTGCCATCACTAACCGTTTTCACTGGCATTCGTGATTAAGCGCAAGCAGATAACTCAGCCATATTGAGCCGATTGCCTTTTTGCGTGACATCATTCGTTTCAGAATTCTTGAGGCAGTCCGAAAAGCCTAAGCTTATTCGAAGCCGTCGTTTCTCAACGTAGTTATGAAAAAGTTTTTCTGCTCTCAATCTGTGTTCAGCGCTGTGTTCAAATTCAGTTAGCAGGTTTCAGTCACTCGCCATTCCTTGGGAACTTGTCAGCCAGTGCGCCTTCTTAACCCATCACACGGACCGCGCGACCACGACGACCGCTCGTTTGACCTTGCAATCACAGCGCTCACCTGACCAATATGCGCCGCTCTCAAAGCTGGGTAAGTACATAGCTGGTGGCATCCGGTTTCGGATTTGCCTGTCACTGTGGCCAGCCACAGGACACCTGCGCCTACAAAGGAACCATGGGTGGCTTGCGCTGTACCACCCAGAATTCCATCCATGCACCCCATCTCCAGTGTAAACCTGAAGGAATAAGACCGGGAGGCATGTGGACGGGGGCCACGATTCATCAACGGGGCCCGCTCACACTCCTTCACAGGCAAACACAAGCACGCTGTATTTGGGAATCAAGCGCACACAAGGCGGTGGCTGGACCGTAGTCCGCTCCACACTGAGTGCATGGAATCACTCTTCGACGCTAGCACGGCCACAAGGACCGTGCACCCCGTCCCCTCCAGCAACGACCAACTGTCTCCTGGAGTCAGTATGAACGAGATAGTAGGTAATAGACAGGTAGGCACCTTGTCAACATGCACATCAAGAGCAGCCACACCGGGTATATCAAGCAACAATCAATCACTTAAAATGACAAGATGAAATAAAATAAATCCAATAATGCATGCAGATACGGGGGCATAACTCTTCGCTAAATTAGCATATGATTTAAGTTGGTTAGAAACGAATCTGCGATAAATAAAAGATGCCCACGTTACTTAAAAATGCTACAAACGCAAAAAAATTACCGAAGATAAGCGCAATTAGGGTAAGCAACGTAGCCAATTAATAGAAGATTATTCAAGTAGGCAAAACAAACCGAATAAATTGGAATGAAATTCATCCAGCTTAAAAAGACCTAGTTTAAGTGTGTTGGTTTAACCCAACTGCGGTGAAGAAGCATCAAGAATGCTACATTAGCCTCAGCATAGAAAAGTACAGAACGCCAACTAACCCACTGGGTCAGGTAACGACACCACGTTGAATGGCAGATATGCGAAGCCGAAAAGTCTCCAAGCGAAAGGCATTTGTGGCTTAGGAGAATGTCATCGAGTAGTTAAAATCGGCCTGGCTTGCTTGCACTGTTTGGAATGATATCAACCGGAATGTGCAAATGTGCCTCAACAACAGTTACGAGAGCGAAATAGCACCCAAGATACGCTTTGGTTCTGTACTGCTTGCTCGACCATCCCACTCTCAAAGTGCCTGCTTATCTTAATTCAAAGTGCGACCGGCTAACCGCAGAAGCCGAGCAGGTGATAAACTATAAGATTACTTCCATTGAAGCGAGTATGCAAAAGGGAAGCATAGCGGCCTCTGAACAACGGGATGTTGTACACTCCACTTCCCCTGCACCGCAATCAACCACGTCCCCATCTCCGTTGTCTTCTCCAAATTTGGTAGAAGGCCGGGAGAAAACTGACCGTACCGAAGACAGCCAAACCGTACTCACAGCAATGCAAATCAGGTACTACTCGAAATATCTGGCAAAGCAAATTCCACTAGACCTGACATAGCATTAACAAGGATGAAGCAACCGAACACCGACCCTCGGTACCTGTTGCTCAAATGTCTCTTGACGAGACAAAGCCCCTCGGGACATCGGTTACAAATGCGGAGATTGTTGCAAAGGTCAGCCGGGAGGCCGCCGTTGCAGCCACTTCTGTTGTAAACATCGTTAACACGAAAAGAGGGACAAACAGTAAACAATCAGCACTTGTCATTAGGTCAGGGTAAAGGATTACCCTACCTTGTAAATCAACGAAAAAGGGATCCAACAATAGTGTTCGAACTGTCGTATGTTCAAATGTCCCTGAATCTACCGCCATCATATTGCGGGGTAAGTTATCGGACGACCAAGACAAATGAAACTCATGGTGCGTGCTAATGAGTGTCAAAGCCAAGCCCATAAACCTAGTACGAATTGCTCGTCATCCGAACTCGCCAAACCATGGAGAACCCGGACTTATTCGAGTAACAGTAGAATCCCCGCCGATGTCGAAAACATTGTGCTCTCCACAGGCGCGCTAAAACACGGATCCTGTGGGATACGCATCTATCCTGACGTCCCTTGTAGTGCGCGACAATCAAAAAGAAGCACTGAAGTGAGACACGGCAAGCAGGACCGCCTAAACAAAATCTTCATCCATGGCATGCTAGAACATCCTTCTAACGATGTTTAAGAGACCGGAAAGCACAATTTAGAATGGTGGTGGTTCCATTGTGAAACACTATCTTTGGATGGTTTTGTGGTATTATCGCTCACCAGGATACCTCTCTCACCATATTAGAGGATGTGGTCCTAGAATCCTAAAACTTGTGGTTCAATCAGAACAACAAGCAAAGCATGTTTCAGATCGATAGCGGAGAAATCGGAAAAGTCTTCCATCTGAACTTCGGTTAAAAGTGGCGGTAGCTTTACAAAGTTCAAAAATTAAAGCATGTGAAGCAGCAAGCATACCGACGAATGTACCGAGGCGTAACTTGACTGCTGCTTTAATTGACTCTGACGTAGGTACAAACGAAGATTGGGACGCGCCTTGGCCTAATCAAGTTTCAGACGAGATATCAGTATCCCAGCAAAAAATACGAGTAACTGCCGACATCCCACCAGTCGACATTCTCCCACACTTGAACCCTTTAGCTCTCTGGGGCTCCTAGAGACGGAAAAACTGGCCTGCTCGCATACGAATGCTTAGGGACTTTTTCACGTACTGGCCGAACTGAAAGATCGCCACGCTTCCGGGTCCTATGATGTCATAGGTAGCACCGAGAAGTGGTTGCACACGGGAATGACGGACGCTGAAGTTTCGCTACCCGGCATGTCGCTGACCCGGAACGAAAGGCTTACAAAAGGAGGTGGGGTAATCCTGTATTACCGAAGCAACTTACCGTGTGAAGCTGTGGCGGATTCAGACTCCCAGTTCCCCGACTCTCTTTGGTGCCGGTTGCAGTTAAAAGGCAGGGGCGCTTGCCTTATTGTCTTGGTACTGCAACAACCAACTGTCGAACATGACTTGGGTGTCCTGGTTCAAGATGACTTGGGTTGCTCCAGGCAATCCGACATGGCTTCGAAGACCGGGAACCAACATGTCGGGCTGTTGAGGCGGGCGTTTGGACAAATAAACAGCTCCATATGTCGACAAATGCTCAGTGCGTATGTTCAACCCCATGTCGAATATGCAATTCAAGCCTGGCATCCATGGCTGAAACACGACCTTAATGCACTGGAGCAGCCACAACGTCGGGCATCTAAGAACGTAATTGGAATACGCAATCTTTCCTACCAGGAGAGGCTGAAATGACTGCGATTGTTCAGTGGAAGCTATCGCAGACTACGAGGCGACCTGGTTATGGTACATTTGATTCTGCGAGACCCACATCATGTGTGCCGCCCTTTACTGCAACTCAGCAGCAATACAAACCTGAGGGGCCACTCATTAAAACTCGCAGAACAATACCGTCGTTTGGAGTGCCGCAGAAATTTCTTTTCCATTCGTGTCTGTCACCCATGGAATGCGCTCCCAGGATCGGCTGTCTCTGCACCGAACTTAACAGTATTCAAAAGATGGTTGGACGATGCACTCATTCACTTACACTTTGTCACTTAACTCTACGTCTCCATCCTTCAGCTGGAGTTTACCATGGAATTATTGGAAGTTAACTGTGGGTGTTGTGAATCTAAGCGGATTGCAGGACTACGGCGGAGCAAACGATAAGTCCTTATTTCCATTTTTAAATTACTAACTGTTTTACTATCATTATTATCATTACTGTTATTTTGATATCCGCACCAACTATCCAACGAGACTTGTAAAGCAACGCTTCTTAACCCGTATAAATTCATTGTTCTTGTTTGTCGCAATCAGCCGGGAATTCAGATAAGTCAACTACCTGTCCGGAAAAGCACCAGAAGGCCGTTTCGCCCTATCCTTCTACTCATAAGTAATACAACTTCGCCCTTACGGATTCCATAAATGGTATGTCGATTCGTAGCTGCCGTAACCGGGAAGTCCTGATGCCGGAAGGCCAACCGCTGTCATCTGCATGGCAGGTGTCTGCCACATTAGTACTTTGTAAGGGAAGTGTCACTAATTGCAAGTGATAAATGGCGCCTGCTTGCCTTGGTCTAATGCATGTCTTCCCGAGCTTTTTGGTTTGTTAAACAACTAACTTTGTTGCTGTGGAATCAAATGGCCTGAAGTTACCGGCAACGTAGGCATTCGGGGGTTGTCCCTTCCAATGGTCCACTAGGCTAACACTTTGAATTTCTCGAAATTCACAATGGATACTAGTTAGAAGTTATTCAATGCAAACAATCTGATGACGTACAGGCGATAGAACAGCGAACTTCGTGTAATCAACCAGAACCACGTGAAATGTGGTTGTGTTTTACTTTATTCACCTTGCTGAATTCTCTGGTATCAAGCGTCAGGCGTTGAGTCGTAGTTCTAGGTAGCAAACTTTTTAAACAGTAATAAAAAGTACGGAGGTAAGATGGTAGAAAATGGCTAACTAAGCTAGTAAGCCTATTGTGTATGTCTCAGCTCACAGTGACATCTCACCTGCAAAAGCGAGCGTAAATCCGTGACTGGATGTTTATCTAACATATTTACGCAGGAATACATCATTAATCACTTTGAAGGTATAATCGCTAACCACTAACACAGCGGGTGCTTAGAACAAATATTTTTGAACACCATCCACCTACGATACCAGTGCTAAATTGGATCGTGGTATCCGTCGACATATTCTGTTCCTAGTGAGTTGTTTAGCCATGTTGTTAGGATTCGTTCAGACCAAGATGAGCTTATCCAATACTTTAAGACCACAAACAGTTTCTCACTTACTCGTCCAGAGCACACATTTCGGAACTGTTCTGTGGTCAACTGTATCCAAGTTTTTGCTTCCATAAGATAATTCGAGGCCTCTGTCAAGTTCGATTTTAGACTCATCAGTTCTGCGCCATATGCCGAAGTAGTCAGCATTCCATCCCTCAAATAACTTTTTGCACTATCGACTTGTGACTTGGAAATTGCACCCTTTTCTAACCACACGGAAAATCGATCATCCATGATACCAAGCCACTTAGTTCCCTCTGATTTCAAATCGCCAACCAACAACAACCATTTGTCTACTTCTGTGTCTCTGTATTCACTGAGTGTTCTGCATTTAAACATAGAAGCAGGCAAGTTACTTCGTAGTTCTGCTATCATAGTCTTCCAGTGCTCAAGTGCTGCTAGGAACTGGGTTACCTCAGCCGAAGTCTCTTTCAACGATTCCTGCTGTTTTTCCGACTTGAATGCAAGTTTTCTATATTTGGACTTTGCATTCTGCAGAATTTGATTGGCCCTGTGAATCTGATACCTCACCTCATCATTGGTAAAGAGACATGCGTCATTGCTCAAAACCTGCTTCGCCCCCTCATGAATTGAATGGACGCAAGTTTGACCGGTATCCATGCTGAACTGGATAGCACTCTCCACTACGGAGGTGGACTGCTGTTCTATGGTCGACCAATGTTCCACTGTGTTTGGCAAACTGCTATGAAATTCCAACTGCCAAATATCTAAATCTTGAATAGATTGTGTAAAATGTTTGAACACATCCAACTTCGACTGTCCGCTATTGAGCAGTTCACCCACCCGAGCAAATGAGTTCTGATATTTTCCAAGGAATGCTTCAATGTGCGTACAAATAGAGGCAACACCAGCAGGTCTAACATAATCTTGTGCAACCGGATCCGACTCACGTATTTCACCTGGCACTACTAAAGAGAGCATACGCCGTATAATCCGCCCAAATCGATTACCAAGATTCTGCGATTCAGCCTTGTCCTCTGTCAGATGTTTGTGTAGCCTATGGAGTTCTTCAAGCTCCCTTTGATAACTCAGCTGTATTTCAAGGAGTCGAGACCGATTCAACTTTGCTTCTTCTGTTATCTCATCCTCATTTGAGAGTGTGGATATCTCTTCTGTCACTGAGGGATAGGTGAAGCTCAACCGCGGGCTTTTCCGTTCACGGCTCAGTACTGGTTGCCATGTGAGCAACTCACGCTCCAAATTATCCAAGCTTGTTTCCCTTCTTTCCCACTCCAGCTTCAGTTTATTCAAGGTAGATGAAAGATCTTCTAACTGGCGGTGAAGCTCCATAGTATCCTCCTGCAGTTGCTTGAACTTAGTATGGGATAAAAACTGTTTTGTTTGTTCACCCAAGTTTAAAAGCTCAAGTTGAGCAAGTGCTTGTTGCAATGAGCGCTGTGCTTCACTGAGTGTGTTGCACTGGAAGCATTCAAGCTGTTTCTTAGTTACTTCTGTGACCGATTGAATGTGTTCGCACAAACTGCTAGGAGAAACACTCGAAGTGGAGACAGGGGTATCGATTGAGTCCAGACACAGGTTTCCGGTAATTCTTCCGTACTCTGCTAAAGCTTGTGCTAATGAACCTTCAAAAGCCCTCATAGCCTTGTTACTTTCCTCCGAGGACTGGTTGAATCTGTGGTTTAGTTCCAGCTTCTTACGAGCCTCCTCAAGCAGACAGCCCAATTCTTCCCTCAGCTTTACTAATGCAGGCGAGGAACTAACAAACACAGATTCAGGTTCATTTGTATCTAAACGCCCAAGTTGAGTACTTGTGTAGACTTCCATCTCTTTGATCAAATCAGCCCATTTGCACTCCTCCTTCTTCCCGCATATTACTGATGAGTCTGATTTGAACACGACCTCGGTGGCACTCTCTTCATCTTTAAGCCTGTTCACTTTTTCTCCAAATTGATGTACTGCTAACTTGTCTTGTTGTAATCGAAAGTTAAAGGCTTTAATACGATGTTGTGCTTTGGCTAATTCATTAGAAATATACCCAATTTTTGTACTTATCTGTCTTAACATTTTTCTGAGCTGTGGAATTTGAGAGCGAGTTGAGGTATCATCGCTTCTTTGCATACGCTCTATAAGTCCGTTGAGCAAGTTTTCTGCATAGACTCGCTTGTTCTCTAGATAGTCCATTTTAGTCATACTTTTGGTCACCGATTCAGACGTGGGTAAAGCGGCTGATTGCATATTCGTCAATGTTGGAAGCATTTCTTCAAACTCAGTGACTTCCTGCTGGAACGCATTCGTCCATTGTATCGCGTCACGCACGTTATCCTTCAGCTCTCCAGTTTCCATTAGTTTGCGATTCTGTATGTCTAACAAGTGTCCTGTTATTCGTTCTAACCAAGCATACTGTAACTCGGCCTTTTCCAACCTTTGAGATGTTTTCTTTTTATCGACAAACATCCGTATGCACGCTATTCTTTCGCTCGCAGCAAAGTCTTTTACGTCGTTCTTGAGAACTTCCAGACATTCTGCCAGTTCAGGTAGCTTTTGTTCTTGGATAAAGGAAATTTCTTTGAGTGAATTTTGTGCAACACAACTGTTTAGTGAGCTCATCAGATCAACATCGTCGTCATCCGCAATTCCAATAAATTGTTGTTGCAGGGTAGTCAGTGCTCTCTCGACTTCCGACATCCGACCATCCCACTCATCAAATTTTCGCTTAACACGACTGTGCTGTTCCATTACTTCAGTCAGGTAATTCTCCTGAAGCTGCATTTCTTGCATGAGTTTGATCCACTCATGTCTCTCGTTTATAAGCTTATGATTTGCCGAATCCTGCACGAGTCCACGGACGGACTGCACCAAGGGGGAAAAACTTGCACGTTCCCCGCCGTCCGAAATGCTAAGTTGCCGCCTCTTCATCAGTTCATGCGCCAGCCTAACTTCTTCCAATAAGCACATCATTTCATCAGCGCCTTCAGAAATAATATCTCCTGGCACCAATGATTGACTGCCTGCCGCAGTTTCACCGGAGAACTCAACTAAACGTGTAATGCGAAATTTTATTAGACACAAGGCTTTCCAGCATTCCCTGAGGTCTTCCTCAATCTGAGTTAACGCCAACTGGCATTGTTGATAAAATTCTCTACATGCATCGACTGAATTTTCGGCCTCAATTTGTGCCGCACTCAGCCGGTCCAAAAGTGCTGTCATGTCGGAGCCCAGTATGGCACATTTGGTTGCGTCATCCTTCAGATTTTGGCATCGGTCCAGCAATTTGGATAATTTTGAACTCAAGCTAAGTAATTCTGCTTCCGCTTGGGTTAACTCATCCAATTTAACTATGTGACAAATGTGGGCTTCATAAGAACCACTTTCTGACACAAGATCACTAAACATCTTGATGGCTTCACCCAACCTGTTGCGCAAAACCATTTCTGACTCAGCTAGGTGTGACTGGTCCGTGCATAACTGAGACAGCTTCGTCTGTAAATCCTCAATTCTACATTGATAAGAACTTCCAATCAAAGTCAGTGGTGTGATTAACTCTTGTAGATCCAACTCTAAATTGCCAGGTTTTAGTTGCATAATCGTTCTCACGACTTCTTCCAATGCCCCTTCCAAAGTATTTCTCGCTAATTCCGCATCCGATTCCAACCGACTGTTTAGGACTAGTGTGCACTTATTCAAAATATCAATAGACTCCACCTTTGGAAGTTGCTTTAGCTCTTCATATTCCTTCTCAATGGGGATAAGCAGCGAATCAAGCTCGCGCTCACAATTAGCAGCCGTTTCCAACTTTCGAACAAGTTTCTCCAAAGTATTCATATTTGTCTGCATGAATGAGTAGATTTGATCTATACGCATCTTCCATTGGACCCAGTTTGACCACAACAATCCATCTAAGGGGGAAATCTTGTCTGCCAACTCATTAACCACTCTTTCCAGCTCATTTCGTTTGGAGTTTAAAGATGCGAGGGGGATCTGTAGTCTATTATCGTCGCTTGGATCGTTGAGTGACTGTTGCAAATTATGAAGCTGATTTCTGTAAATTTCCACAAGTCTCTCGAGTGTTCTTTCAGTTCCCAGCGCTTCTTGCACTACTGGAACACGGAACTGTCCGGTCTCCTTGATGTTGTCTATCATCATGCTTAGCTGACCCATTTGCATAAACAAGCGTTCAGCCACCTCACAATGCTCACTCTGCTGCTCACAATCATGTTGTAGCTTAATAAACAAATCCTTGAATTGCTCGCCGATCTTGATTACATCTGAGGGAGTGAAATGAATCGCTAGGCAGCCTGTAACGAGACGTTCGTATTTGTCTTCAATATCTTGTCGTTTCGATAGTAGCACCTGTGAGTAAACCAAAAGAAGGCAACGGTGTAGATCATCATCTTAATGCAGCAGCATTCAACATATTTATCATGAACTTCGAATTAGAATTTTTTAACTAAACTCAACACGCTTGTGCAAGCTCTCAAGCAATGTACTGCTAGAAGTTTGCATGTGCTTTAAAAAGTCGTAGTCGATGTCACACATGGCGTAAACTAATGTATCATCCACAGAGTTGGTTTCACAAGCTAACGGGTAAGAAGATCGCTTTGGTGACTGTACTAAAATGTAGCATCCAGGATGTTTATCGGAACATTTAAAAATTGTGCGTCTCCTCAAGAAACGCTGCTGTCGATGAAAGGCTTAACGTCATCTCGTCTTCATCCGTTGCCCTCAAAGAAAGGGTTATATGGTTTTGGTGTGAAGGTGAAACATCAGATTATCACCTAGAGGCTTTATATGATCAGCATAAATCTTGCTACATTCTAACGAGGAATTTGGTACATGGAAAGACTAGTTGGAAGGTACTGTGTTACTCTTACTTCATCAGCGCACACCAGTAATGGGAGAGGGCCACACCGAAACTCTCCTCTTCGGACACGGTCCCAGTACCTGGAATAACAGAGGCTGACTTCAAAGTCAGTTGAGGCCACAAGTGAAGTTGTGTGTCGCAATCCAAGAAACACGGCGGGTTCTCCAAAACCAAGCAATCAAAGGACCAGTTGGTTTGCAAATAGTGAACCCGCGAGCTCTGAAGCAAGCGGGAAAGAGTGGCCCACTGACGTATTTCAAAGACTGCAGCGGTTCCACTATCGACTATCGCCTGAGTGTGATGCGCTTGACTCCATTTGACGTTAAAATAAGCCTTAAATGCTTAGCTAAACTCAAGTATTCCTAAACGTACCGCCATGCCTTAAACGTATAATTAGCATAACCCCGCGTGATCCATTGATAAAAGGGGTGTTTGGCGATATATTCGAACTACGTGCGTGGATGACCAAAAGAAGCCAAAAGTGGACGTTGGTATCCTTTTGAGTATTGCTTGCATCTCCATACGAAATAGTGACCCGTATAGGCTGAATCATATGCAACTATCTCAAATATCTTTGTGGTGGAATGAAGGGTTACCTGACGGATATAGTTAAAACCACCGACAACTTGGAACGAAAGCCAGCAGCTTACGCCAATGGGCCACGTGATACAGCTTCGGACCTTCATGATGTAGAAGCTGAGTGCGATTTAGCGCGTCTTATCCACAACTGCCATGCAAGTTATGAACGTTACAGAGGACAGAGTTGGCTCCCGGAAGACAACGTCCACTGACAGTAGCTATGTACGACAACATTTAGAAACGGTTATGGCGAATTTATTTTGATGTTAGCACTTAAAAGTTCGTCGCACCAGCTTCCAAATCGGATAGTCCTCCACAGGCATGGAAAAGCACTAAACTGCAATTGCAACCCCTTCGGCATCATCAGTATTGCGTATCCATCTGGGTACAAATCCATGACAGACAGCGTTCAATGGGCATGACCTGCGAGCTGTGGAGCTGAACCCAGGTGAACGACTTCTGGTCTTGGAGTATGATGACGCTCTTGCCCTAATCTGTGACAGCTCATAAATGTGTCCAGCAGAATTGGACATATTAGTAATGGGTGTCAGTCGTCTTGAGATATGCTTTGCATTCTCGAAACTCAAAGTCCCCAAAGATTGGCAGAGACCCACCTCTGCGCTGGACCTTGGTGGCGATCAGCTGGATGTTGTCCAGAAATTCAAGTATTTAAGCGGCTAATTTAGCACCCGTGGAATAGGAGATAAGTTCACGAAACGTATAGCGTATGCTTGATGTGTTTTGCTGACCTCCGCCGCCTGTGGTGCCGGCGCAACATAACTTGCCACGAATGACAGAGTTTACAATGTAGCCGTCCACTGAACCCTCCTGTACGGGTTTTTAAACTCGGCATTTCACTTTGACAAACCTAAAGATGCTCGCTACATTCGATCAGCGCTGCGTTTGCAGCTTAGGTCATGCCTGGTGGGTACACCGCGTGAGCAATGAGCGTTCTCAGAGCCGCGTATTTGGTGCAGGAAGAGCGAGGGAATCGCTGAGCACCGTTATTTCACCCACCAGACTCCGATGGCTGGGCCACAAGTTGTGCATGTCAGCACACGAGATGCGTTGTTTGCGTCACCGTGGTGTGAATTGTGGAAGAGGAGCGCAGACCAAGCGATGACTCAGTCAAGGCGTTTGAAGACCCTCATTTCGAACTTGGCGTCTGCTGGAGCCTATCGACTACCAAGTTGTGGTGCCAAGAACGATGAAGGCGCTTGGTTGGATATACTTGTCGAAATGACGAAATGTCCACCTCAGTTGCTTTTATGTTGTGAGTTTCTTTGTTTCTCCCTCTTCCTCTTCTCTTCCCCCACCAATCACGTTTCCATACGTGGTGTTTAATATACCACTGAGGATTATACTACCTTTTTGGTCTTAGTTTTATTCTGTAAGGTTTTGTACATCGTTTCCCCTGGAGATCTCATCATTTTTGTATTGTGGCACATTAGCTCCAGTGTGTTAGTTAATTTCATGTCCCGTGTATTGTTAATAGTGATGATGATAGTGAGACTGATTATGCACCCTAGCGCTTTTCCTGTTATATCGATGAATAGCTAAGTTGGAAGCCGCTGAGACGAGCTGTGAAGTAATTACATCAAGAATCCCCTACTCATGGATACATTTATCCTTACATGTGCTACAGCAACTAGAGTGAGAACCTGACTTTAGTACGGTTAAACTAAACAGCCAGTACAACCGGATCGTGAACAAGAGATAACCATTTTGGTCCACCTGAGCACTACAATGAGCTTGACTCATTGACTTAACACTAAGACTCAACACTAAGATCGGTAACAGCAGCGGTCCTCTTACGTTTTGAGGCTGCGTGTTGCTAGTCGCAGATGTGCAGCTACATAATGCCGGTTGTCAATAAATAACTAACAAAATTCTCTATTCTCCACAGTGTGAGACGCGCCTGCATAGGTAAGATCAAGGTAATACAAAAGCAATCGGTACTTGTACACAAATGTTACAAGGTAACCGGTTGCGAGATAAATTTATGTATGTGCATAAGTAAGTACGTGTATATGTGCCCCATGCTGAGGCTGATGTTGCATTCTTGATGCTTCTTCACCGCAGTTGGGCTAAACCAACTTACACTTAAACTAGGTCTTTGTAAGCTGGCTAAATTTCATTCCAATTTATTTGGTTTGTTCTGCCTACCTGAATACTCTTCTACTAACTGGCCACGTTGCTTAAATTAATTGCGCTTATCTTCGGTAACTTTGTTGGGTTTGTACCATTTTTAACTAACTTGTGGACATTTTTTCCTTATCGCAGATTCGTTGCTAACCAACTTACTTCATACCATCTCAATGAGGCTGGACCTTACCGTGGTGCGATGGTTTGTGTGCCTCAGTGATCCATTGAGCTATACTGGGTGGTGCTTTTGCACCTTCAGGGCCACTCATACCAGATTGGTGAATGGTTAGACGCCAGACAAACTCAGCCTCCTGGCCCTCCAGGTTGGGGTTGGAATGAGGGTGGATCCTTATTCCTTAAAACGGACTCCTTGTAGTCCATCGCCAAACCCGCTGCCTTGCGGCCAAGTTTTTGAACCAAAGGTTTTGGTTGAGAACACTAATCGTTCTCCTGTCTAGGCCTGGGCAACCTGACAGTATCCTGCCCACGCAATACAATGAATCATTCCTCAAACAAATCGCTGATGCTCTGGCCACCGCAGAGGATAATCAACGGTGCCCTATCTGCTGCATCGAGCAGGGTTGATACGGGTTTGGTTGCTACTGCTCAAGCCTTCCCATCTTCTTATTCCCCTTCTTGCGCTTTTCCCCCCTTATCGTCCCGTTCCAGCTTCACTTTTATCCCCCTGTTTTCAACCCCCAATTCTCGGCCCTCCCCCACCTTGCTTCAATAGTCGTTTGTCTTTTAGTTTCAATTCACATGTGAACGCGGAGCGTCATTCCTGCCCTGTCAACAGGCCTATGTCCAAGCAAGCGGTCAAGCCGAATTCATCGGCGTCCATTTGGAGCCCTCGATCCTCCTTCAGACTGGCATGCCTCAATGTTCGCACATTGCTTCAGATCGGTCGACAGGCAGCACTTGCCCGAACACTAGAGACCCTCTCGATCGATATCTGCTGCTTATCGGAGACCCGCCTGCAAGACTCGAGCTCTGTACTCACTCTGCGATCCCCTTCAGGTGACACCAGCAGGATGTTCTCATTGCGCCTATCCGGTGACGATGCAGCTTCGAGCACCGGCCAAGCCGGTGTTGGTATTGACCTGAGTCCCCGGGCTGAAGCTGCTCTGGTCGACTGGATTCCAATCAGTAGCCGGATGTGTGCGGTCCGATTGGCTGGCTCGTTCAAAACTTCGAAGTCGCGTGGGACTAATAGGTGTCTATTCGTTATCGCTGCCTATGCACCGACAAACTGTAGCGGTGACTCGGTAAAAGACGACTTCTATCGCCGACTGAACGAACTCCTTCGCCACAGAAGAAGCTCGGACACTGTAGTGCTGGCTAGGGATCTGAACGCTCAAGTTGGAAAATTATCCACAGATGAGGTGCATCTGGGCGGCCAACATGGTATAGGCTCCCGTAATGATAACGGTGAGCGGTTACTTCATTTGTGTGAGGATGCTCGCTTATTTCTTGCGAGCACTAATTTCCGAAACAGCACCCGCCGGAGGGTGACTTGGTGCCCACCAGCCTCGAACCAGCTATGGACGCAAATCGATCACATTGCTATCAGTTACCGCTGGAGAGGCTGCGTCCAGAACTGTCGCTCGATTTGGAGCACAGGTGTTGACACCGATCATGCACTTGTATGTGCTGACCTGCGGATGCGCTTTGGCGGACGCCCGCGACGATGTTTTGAGCGTATTGACACCGGCAGACTGGTGAAGCCAGCTGTTCTGAACGCCTATCAAATTACGCTGTCATCCGA